TTCCTAAAATAGAGTCACTCCAGACATGCGGTATGAAATCGATTTCCATTACACTATTCAATGGACAGCTGAATGAAAATGTATTCAGATACAATTAAGAAGCACTTTTGGGGGTGTTTATGAATGGAGGACACTTTTGTGTGTATTAAATCGTTTGCAGAATCAAAGACGTCCAGGCAGAAGGGTTATTAAATTATGGAAATGGAAAGAATTATACTGCACTGAAAGGAAGTTTTGTTTATGTTGCTTCAAATTAATATTTTTTGTCAGTGTCATATTGATCCTACAAATTGCTGAAGGACACTTCCAGAGGATTACACAGGTGAGAAAACACTTGTTTAGGACAAATGGAGCATGTAAAAGGTGTGAATGACGACATGAGCCGGTGCAGGGAGCTCAGCTCCGCTCATCAGCTCTCATTTGCCGCCACTGCTGATTGGAAGTTCACATTCGGTTCACATTCGGCAGGAGATCTTTATAGAGAGAGATTGCTTCATGATGGGAAGGGGATGAGGAAGATTAAACAGACTCTAGAGGGTAGAAGTCACGACTCTAATGTTTTGACGCATGAAGGAGCCATCTGCCAGTCTTCCTTTAAGTCGCAGACAGCTTACACACGGCAAGCAGTCCATGATCTCTGCAGCAAGATGGAGGCTTTTAGTTTGATTTAAATGGTTGAAAAGGTCTTTCTACATCAAAATGCAACTTTTTATGTACATTGGCGATTAAAATACACATACATTAAGTGTTTCTTTTTTTTCGGCTCAGGTAACTAAAATCAACCTGCTGACTGCACAGAGGAGGGAGAACCACATCCTTCTCATGGTCATCTCCATGGTCTCCTGCTATCTGCTGTGCTGGATGCCATACGGGGTGGTGGCTCTGCTGGCCACCTTTGGCAGGAGGGGACTGATCACTCCCATAACCAGCATGGTGCCATCAGTCCTGGCCAAGAGCAGCACGGTGGTCAACCCGGTCATATATGTGCTTTTCAACAACCATGTTAGTACACAGATGGAATGAATTTAGAATTTGTAGTTGGGGTGTAGAAACACAGTAGTGTGTCCTAGTGTATTGATTTGACAATAAAAAAATGAAGTGCATTTATTATTAGAATTATATATTATTTATCATTTCCTTTTTTATTTTAAAATAACCTAAAATTTTACCTATTTTCAGTTGTAAAAGCCCACTATATTCAGACACGTACCATAATTTGCATCCACGACTTTTGATGCATATTTTGGAAAATCAAATCTAACCAAATGTTCAGATTTTTCATAATATTGCATCACATAATTAATAATCATAATTCAATTGTCAGAGCTAGTATTTCGATATTTAAATAGTATATCTTTTTATATTTTAATCTATGCATATTGTTAGGAAAAAAAGTGCACAAAACATATAAAGTATACTTCGTTTTCCACATTCCACTCCATCTAGTGCAAAGTTGAGTGTGCAGACCTTTAAAAAATACTTAATTGCCCATGAGTGCAAGCGAATGTGTAGGTCACGTGTGCACTACCTAGTGGCCCCTTGTTTTTGAGTGCTCGGATTGCTCGCACATGCACTGCTGTCCATGCACATGTCTGTGCGGACACAAAAAATGATGTTGTGCACTGTCCATGAGACAAAAGTGGAACAAAGACAAGTATACAGCATACAGCTTGTCACTTAAAAGGACAACATTGTACCTTATCTACCCCTGAGAGGTCTATATTAGTGAAATTCAATGCAGACGGTTTCATTCTTTTTTTCCTTTCAGTTCTACAGGTGTTTCTTAGCATTTCTGAAGTGTCAAGGAGATCCATCTTTTCACAGCCAGAATCCTCAGTACAGCAGCAAAGAAGATCCTCATGTGCTCAAGCCCTGTGACGGGCCCTCATGGCATCGCGGCGTCAAGGGCTCCCAGAAAAAAGAGCGGCACACCCTGGCCTTAGCAGTCCATTACACACCCTGATACTCTCAAAGACTGCCCAGGCTCTTTACAGAGCAGCATTTATGATGCAGTATGATAAAAAACTGACAGTGTGATGATTGTTCCAATATCTTAAACCACACCACAAAGTTTCATATGACCAGTATATCAGAATCCCTGAGTAGGACCAAAAACTGAAACTCATGGTTCTCTAAGACTTGAAATTAATGTGCAGTGTCAGTTTAGCGAATACCCTAGAACAAAAGAATGTATGTTAAAATATATGTAGACACAAATGCTGATTATATAATGAACTTCCGAATAAATACAACACATTGCTAAGCGTGCAGTGAAGCAGTTAGTGTAAGTGTCAGTCTGTGAATGCTGGATGTAGTGCAGTTACACTTGTCGCCAACAGTAGGAGCCACTGCCCATGTCATACTGCAGTGAATCCCATATAACAGAACTCTGCAAAGTTTAGTCCATATCCATATGCTGCTTGTGACAGATATCTTTGAATGCATAACTTATTACTGGGCTTTGTTAGTGGCATGTTAGTTAATGAAAGTTTCCCTATAGCATAGTATTTAATATTTTTAAGATATTAAAGTCCACTGCTTCTTTGATATCTCCATGTACTTAAGTGTTATCATATTTGATTAAGCTTTACAAAACTGTATAAAGTGTACATTTTTGTGAGTAATTGTGAGTCATGTTATAACACAGAGACATGTAATTACGTCATTATTCCGACTGAAGTATTTTCAGACTTCAATCCTGCATCATTTGCACATTTTCCAGAAAGTGTGAACATTTCAATGTGCCGTTTTCATAGTCAGTTCCATAGGCCCACAGTCTCTTTTTCACCAACACGCACAGAACATGCAGTGAGTCATATATGCGTTACCAATCATTCTTCCCATCCCTGGAAAAAGAAGCAGTGAATACAAGGTTTGCTATGTATGTGTTGAATTCTTTCTCCCTGTAATCATTTTTAAGCATTTAATGTGTTTTTTCATATTGCAACACTGTATAAGTCCATTTCAAAGTATCAGACAAAGAGTAAATACTGTATATGGTCATAAAAATTGACATTGAAAACTGGTATTTCTTATCATATTATTGTACTGTTGTAATTATAAACACTGGTTTGTAGCTAGTTTTACAATTTACTGCACTTTGTTATGCTTCTAGTCATTTTCAGAACGGCTAATGCATTGGAAGTCTATCACAGTAGCTTTCTTCCTCGTTGAAAAATAGTGAAAATTGCATAAAGCAACAACATCATGGTTATCGGTATATTACCTAACTACTGTACAATAACTAATAAAGCCTTGATTTTTAAGGGACACCTAGAAGTAGATCTAGAATTTGCAGGAAAATTTTTTAACATGCTTTGTGCAGCTTTCATTTGTGATACAATAAGTGATAAGTGCCCATATTTTTCACTGTAAATGACCTCACGTTACTCATGAGCACTGCTTATTCAAAACACTGAAACATATATGTACTTCCACCCACATCCATTCACACTACGCAGCAAGCACATTATAAATGATATCTGATGTTTCAGTTAATAAAGGTCAAAGGTCTGACGACAGGTCCCAGTTGTGTCTTTTCATGCCTTGTTGTGGGTGAAGATCATTTCCTAATGTATAAAGCATGCGTTTGAAATAATACTGATGACTTCGGAAAATGTGAGCCCCGGCAGAGGGACTGAAACAAAAATCAGTGGGGGTGGAACTGAGGTTAGATGCTTCAGTTCGTGTGAAACCAGTTTTTTTTTGCAAAAAAATTGATTGATACTAGATAATCAGCCGTTTCTATTGTCAAGAGTCAATGAAAAACATTTTTTGTTTTGATGTAATGCACAGTTTATATCCAACAATATGGTGGTATTGAATGTCCCATAATTAAAAAAGAAAATGTTTAACAAACTCTTTCACTTATAAACCTATATATAGATGCTTACTCATTTACAGGTTCAGCAATTCTTTAAACAGATGTCAAGAAAGATCAAGTGGAGCTATGAGAATATGTAGTTGAGACCACCAGTTGGTGGTTAAAATGAGGTCAGAAGTTGGAAACTGTATATAGGCCAAAAGTCAAAATGAAGACCATGTCTTTCATAGATTTTCGAGGATCTTTTATAGATGTGGTAAACTAGTAACTTATCGACCTTGATTATCGAACAAAATGGTTATGGCTCATAAAAAAACAGGTTTCATAATGTGTTTCTCCCGTGTGTATGCTCACAACTGTAAATAAGGACTATTTTCTGTTGTTTACCACACATGTGCTTCACTGTGGTCAGATTTTTTAAAAGAAATATAGACACATACAACACGTGACTTTATTTCCTGTGGTTTACTGACAAACAGAAGCTCTGCTCTAATTGCAACTCACAATGTCACCAATAATTAATGCACAAAAATAAAGAGGCCCCAAAAGTATTTGGACGCTTAAGTCACTCTAAAAATGTATGCATATCATTGCATTTGACTAAATAAAGACAAAAAAAAAAAAAGGATTTGGACATTTTGTGGTTGTCAGATATTAGTGGATCATGTTCATAGTCAATGTGATGAACTATGATTCCTCTAATAGGACACCTGTGTGAACGTCTTCTTACACTCACTAAAAATCACTTTGGGATCAGTTGATTAAAAGCAATTGCGAAAATGTTATTTCTGAGAAAAGATCTAACATTATTTGTTTGTAAGATGCCATTTGGTTTGCTATTATATCTAATGCAATGTTATTCATACAAGTTTTGATATTAGTTTAATTAAAACAAATTCTTTACAAATGCTTGTTCACAAAATCAGAAAACAGAACATTCAAACTGCAGATTTTGAATCTGCAAAGACAATGACCTTTGTGCAAAAATGTGTGACCTCATGGAATCAGGCCTTTCTAGTGCCTGCTATGAGGACACATGCTTATTTATGCCAACTTGTGCACAAACACATATGCCGGAATTCTCAGCCCATCTAAAAAAGGTGACATCTTTCAGGAAGTTGCATTCAAATGAGCTTGCTTGCATTGAGAGCAGCTCTTCAGAAGTGCATGGGTGCCACTGGAGTACACGTCTCTTCTCTAATCGACTCGTGCTCTGTTCATCATGATAAACACCTTTCACACTAGCTACAATCCTCCGCCGGTGCCTCCACGGGCAGGATACAGCAAACCCCGGCCAGTGGGCAACACATCTTTAGTCAAGTTTTTGTCAGTGATGCTACTGCTGTTAATGATACTGACCTTCGGAGGCTTCCTCTACCTGTTCCAGAAACTCAACATGGTATGAACGGCTCTTCTCTTAGTGGCTCTTGGCGCTCAAGTTTGTATCTACTGCAGGTTTCATGGGTGTCCAATTGAAAAGAAATGATTAAGTTGGCACAATTTTAAATATCTTTTTTTTTTTTTTTTAAATAGAAGTCATTTATTATTTTAATAGAAGCTAACAGACTTTTAGATGGCAGATTATTTTATGGCTCCATATATTATAGTCATTTTGCTTATGATGATTTTTTTCAGTATGCATTATTGACATTATTAACATTTTTGTAGCTCGGCAATCATTGATAATGGTTTTGTGGTAGAAGCGATGTAAAAGGTGCCTTCATGAGGTTAACAACTTTAACATCAAATGTACACTAAAATCAAGAACAGCATTTTATGCAATGATTATTTTGTCTCAGAATATACAGAAACTTTTAAACGTAAAAATCTGAGCGGCCTAATCTCATGGGTGTACTTCCTGGGTTGTGTGGTTTTATGAGCAAGGCAGCATGCTGCGCATCAAAGAAACAAAGCCAACAAAAACCAGCCTTTCTGTCTCAAGAGGAAGTTAAAACCAAACTACCCAACAAATTATGCAAGCTCACTCTTTGATTTATATGCCAAAGAAGTGACTCAGTAACAATTTTAGGCATGATTATCCCTGTAAGCATGATTGATAATTAAAGCATCATTAGAATCAAATTGAATTGAAAAACTCCAAACGAGAAGAACGTAGTTTTAAACAGCAGCAAAAAATTTTTCAATCTATATATACAGCCATTCTTTTGGCAAACACTGATATACAGTTTCAAAATAGATTATGTACAGCTTATGTATTTCATTATGTAGCATGCATTTCCGTGAATCAAGCAGACAGACTGATATAAGAATCAATGAAGCGTTAGTTTCAGTAGGGCTTTCAAATGTTTCAGTAACGATCAAGTTAAAGTGCAAGTTTCACCAAACAGATGCGTGAACGTAAGTCACGTTCACCAGAAGGGTAAATATAGTAACAGTACATTCCATTGCGATCAGTTTCAGGTGAAATGTTGATAAAAACTAAACATGACTGTCATTACACATTTATTATTAAGCTTATTAAAGATGTACAAATATATGACAATGTTTTATCATATATAAATGATATATTTTGGACCTACTTTATGTTAAGTGTCCAATGGTAAGTGAAAACACCATCCTGTAATTAATTACTGTAGTTACGTCTACAATTATTAAGTACATAGTGTTTAAAGATACCTAATATAAAGTGGGACCCATATTATATATATGTATTTACAAATAATCAATAACATCTAGGTAATTGTACTTGTAGCGCTGCGTGAAATAAACGTCGACAGGCAGCATTATGTACATTTATAAAAACATTTTCATTGTCGTATTATATATTAAAAGTCATATAATTCACATTCTGTGTTCTCTGTGACCATGGTTTTTTTTTTGTCAAAGCTCTTTTTAGATAGAATTCAGAGCTCTTTCTCTTTCTAACTATAAATTCTTTAAGCATTAAGGGAAACATATTAATAAATGTCTTTTCCTTCATCAGCAGCTCCAGGACAGTTATCATGAAGACATCAGCCTACAGAGACTCCAGGACTGTGCCGACAGCAGTATGGGAGAAGACTCAATGACAGAATGTGGCAAACTGATGGAAAGATATAAAGTTGTCATAGCAAAGGTAGGCCTATATGTTTATGTCATGCGTTTAAAGCCACGCTTAAAAGATTTTGATGCTCCTAGATGTGAATCGTACAACATAACCATTATATGAAAACATTGTGTACAACTCTATGACTTTATGTATCATTAATATTCTTTTACTTCCTCCCAAAGGTTTCACAAGCAAATGAAAAATGTAAGTATTGCCAACCTGGTAACCTTATTAACTAAACGATCTAAAACATATCGCACAATGTATTGTTACATTGCAAGCAATGTGGCGTCCTATTACTTTTGATATATTTTGTAACCTTACTGTAACCCTTTATTTTGTATTGTATACTTACCACTGTTGTGTATTTCTCCTGCAGTGTCTAAGTTAACTGGAGGGCCACACTTTATTGGACCAGCTGCACACATGACTGCTCTGACTGAGCATAAAGGTAATAGAATGTATTAGAATCATTCATTTAGTATTCAATTAAATCATGTAATTAAACTTAAGCCTAGCCATTGTGTGCCGATAATGGGTTTCTCCTTGCATTAAAACCACCAGATAAGACTTCTGACTTCTTGAAGACAAGCAGTCTTCTTTGGGATGAAGAGCACTCGCTGCTACAGGATGTACGGCTCAGCAACAAACGGGACAAGTTGACCATTCAGTATCCCGGAATCTATTTAATCTATTCCCAGGTCACCTTCTCCAAAAATTCTCCTTTATCTTCATTAAAGCAATCCATAAGGAGCACAGTACAGCAAGGCAAGGAGCTACTCAAGTCTTTTTGCAGTTTGAACCCAAACCCACCAAATTTGTGTACAGCTTCTCTGGCGGGGGTGTTCCATCTAGAGAAAGACCAACAGATTTATGTTACAGTAACAAACACATCCTTGGTGAACCGGGACTCCTGCAGCTTTGGATTATTCAAATTGCGGTAAAGAACACTCTGGAACTGAAGCGGTCAAGGGGGAGATGGATGATACGAGACGGTCAGGGACTGACTGGATCAAGGCACTATAATTAAACGGATAATTATACAGTCATGTTATACATCTCAAGGGAAAGACATTGCACCACCTCTTCTCCTTGACACCAAACCACAATCCAAGCTCAGGGCGAACAAGGAAGTCATGAAACCATCTGAATATGGGAACATCCTTTCGATTATATTGTTCATTGCAAATACAACCCGATAAGAACACCATGAATGTTTTCAAACCACTAGTGTTTGGTGGCGTTTGTCTGAAATTATTTATTATTATGTGTAGTTTTCCTTTTTATGTTTTGCTCTTCTTTTTATAATGATAATAATGAACTATTGACTTAGTAATAAAGATATTTATTTTAGTATAAGCTTGACAATTATAATTGATGGTCGATTCATTTTTTCCGCCCTCCCTATTATACTACTCCTCAAGTCCTCCAGTATTTTTTATATTATTACCAATGTTTCCAAGTGGTCATGAGTTGTGTAAGTGTTTCCTAACATAGTAGATTGAGGTTGTGAGAAGTTTGGAAACTACTGTGTAGGACGAGACGAAGAGAAAGACGCATAAGCCTACCAGTTCTGTTTTTAACTTCAATTTGGTAATATGACCCTAAACTGACTACTGCTGTGCCTATTTTACAGCATTCCATCCTCCTCCATGGAAACAGTGAGTTTTAGGTGCCAAACGCGTGCTCGTTTGAGCCACGCGGATGCCTCTGCTTACAGGAAGTTGTCAGCCTACTACACTCACTCTAGCCTGTACATTTACTCCATTCACGCATTAAAAACTAACACACCATATTGAAAATACATCATTTTAATTACCTCTGTATTTCACAACAAGGTGGAATTTCCTTGTGTAAGTTGGATGCAAATAAAATCAAACGCATAGCTTATTAACATGATGTTATTTTATTAAAATAAATCCTTATTGAAACGAAGACAAAATAAAAACACAAGCACTAGGGAAAAAACGAAAACAAATTATATATATATATAGCATTTATATTGCATAGATCAGCGCCGCAAAAATAAAACTTGTGTTCTGCAGACATGGCCACTTTTAAGAGGAAACTGACGTGGACATTCTTCAACCCTCATTTATGATCTCCTGAAAGTGCTATTCTTTTATTTATTTTTTTCCGGACACATTCATGACATGACAAAGTGAATTTCCTTTCAGTGAGATCAGTAGCCACCCAGAGCAAATATCAGGTATACATACTAGCATAACCTACTGAACAATTCAATCTCTTCCACATTACACACACACAAACAGACCATCAGAAATATCACATTTACCACTGCAGATGTCAAAGTTTTAGACCGATGGTTTAAAACTTCAGGAGTTTTCATAATAACAACAACAAAAACAATACAATCAGGGTTAACACTTTAAAATAATATTTAAGGCTATGTGTACCACATGGCATGCGAGGTTAATTGCTGGAAAAGCAAACACGCACACAAACATGAAACAGATTTACACACAGTACCACAGTAACAGCATTACATTTGTGCGCCTCACAGCACATCTTATTGCCTAATCGGAAGAATATATTATACAGTATACTCCTTCCAAGAGAAAAACTGGCTCTTGCACAGCAATTGTAACAACAAACCAGTCGCATATTGCATTGAATTGCCACAGCAATGCTCCGGAGGTGACCACTGGTGGGTTTAAAACCATTTTTTAAAAAAACTCCCCACCCAAGTTTTGCTCTCTTTGCATGCATTTCTTCACTGCTTAAGATCTCCGATCCACAGCGAATGAAAAGATTAGTCACGGTTATGATCGCTAATGATTAGTTGAAAGGTTTAGCACTCCAGACACAGTGTCATTTGTGTAATTGTAACTAGTTACAGTTAAAATGGCAAGAGTTCAAGAAAAAAAAATATATGTACCACGCGTACCACGGCAGAATACAAATGAGTAAAAAAATGCACCTCCGCTGTAAATCAGATTAGACGCCATATTAAATTCAACGTGGATGAAAACAAGTCTGTGAGAGATAGACGTACTTTCTTTACCATGGCATCCACTATATAAAGCTCCTAGATCACATAATTTACTAAAACTCATAACTTTCAAAACGTAAGTTTTTTCGGAAAGATGTTTGGTCAGCTGAACAATCTGTATGTTATTAAACTACAGTACAATCCACTAAATGCACTGTACTTCTATCCATCACAGCCTCCATTTCATTCCGGACAAAAATTAAACCTTGCTGATGGGGAGCAGTTTGCTGGAAAAAAAAAAATCAATAAAATTGCGTTCTAACCACATTTGTTTGTCACTCTAATATGAGCCTCCAAGATATGGTAAGTGAGGAACAAACAATAGGTGCCTAAAGTACCGTACGTTTCTACGTACACTTGATTTTTTGAGTCCTAAAAGGGATCCTAGTACCAAATCTGCAAACATTCTGGATTGTTTTTGGTTTAAGATACATATGAAATAGTTTCAAGCCTCTGAAAAAGGAGGATGAAGTTTCCTACTGTATTTTTGTTATCATTAAATTTTTTTCCTTTCGCCATATCTGATATATACATATTTATACTGTATATATGATATACATACATTATATGATGTATCGTATTAGTATAGTATTATAAACCTAACTATTTCTGACAACTATATCCCTGATAGCTTTAAACTAGTGATGATTATCAGAAGCGTGATTATGTAGTATTATAATGGCTCTTTTAGAAATACTGTGTACCCATACTGATGCGAGTGACTGTCCGGGTAACACATATTTGGAATAAACTGAATCTAAACCTACAGTCCAATGACGCATTACAGGCATTTAATTCAAAGCCTTCAAACTAAAAGGAAAAACCAAACTCATTTTAAGATGGCAAGTAGGGCATCTCATGTCAATCAGGTGCAACCACAAATCTCAATCTTGTTCATTTGTGACCTAAAAGCAACCGTTTTCACATTATAAAAGCAGAAATGGGTCTCAAAAGAGCAATACTTGTTGAAACAGTGGAATCCTGCAATGTTCAACCACAAGTATCTCCTCTTACGCCATAAACAGAATATTTTCACTTGTGCAATAGTGGCTTGAGTCGGAATGCTGTTCATGGGCTGAATGTCATTGGATTTCTTTTGTCCATGACCAGTAACAGTCATAAAGTGAGGCAGATATTTGTTCAGTTCAAAAACAAGAGATTCCACCATCTTTTCTGTGATGATTCTTGTTGGAGTGGAGTGAACCGGAACAAAAAATGGACAGGACTCTGACAATCATCTGAAGTTTTCCAAATCACAAAATACAGTTCACTTGGTCTTCTAGAACAGTTGCCGGTTTGCTCTCAGAAGGTCACATCACAGGAGCGTGAAGCAAACCGCACAGTGATATTCTTCAGTATGGCAAGATAAACACAGTCACTAATCACAGAGTTGATCTTCTTATCGCATCTTGTCCTTAAAAAACATTTGACGAGAAATGGCTGAAAATCCCCAGCATGGTGACTTTCCAAAAGCAACGTTCAGTGTGTAATGTGATGGAAAAAAACACATAAAAACACATTTGTGAGGACACACAGACACGGAAACACATACATGCAGCTGGCAAAGGGAAACAGGCGAGTGTTCTTCAGTGACCTCCTTCATCCCAGGAACAGTCATTCTTTTGCTTGGCCAACTTTCTGACTATACGCTCTAGCTCCTTACGGGACTTCTGTTCCTCGTCCAGACATTGCTTCATCCGTTTATTCTCCTACATTCACGAACACATGGCATCAGAAGATTACAGCATAATGCCTATTATAACTCAGGCCAACACGAGGTTCCAATAACGTAAAATCTTACCTTTTTTAATTCATGGACTTCATCTTTTAGAGCATAAACAGCATCAACAAGACTTCTGCAAAGCAATAGAATAAAAACATTCTTTAAAATATTCAAAAGGAAAACAGAACATTTCAAGTTGCAACTGTTAAAGGGTTAGTTCACCCAATAATGAAAATTAGCCCATAAATTACTCACCCTAAAGTCATCCTAGGTGTATATGACTTTCTTCTTTCAGACAAATCCAGTCGGAGTTATATTAAAAATTGTCTTTGATCTTTCAAGCTGTTTAATGCCACTCAGCGGGTGTTGCATGCATCAGTCCAAAAGAAGTTAAATAAAAAGTGTCTCACACAGCTCAGGGGGGTGAACAAAGGCCTCCTGTAGCGAATCGATGCGTTTTTGTAAGAAAAATATCCATATTCAAAACGTAATAATCACTTTAATGTAGCTTGCGCCAACAGTTGTACACGAAAGCAGCTCCGGGCGGATGACGTATGAGGTCAACTTTGCGCATGCGTCGCTCAGAAGTGAGGCACGCGGAAGCGCAGCAGAGAGATCAAAACAAAACAACGTTCACTTATTAGAAGTACAAAACGAGGATTTGTAAAGAATGTCGGAAGCTTTTTTTTTAAATGGATGGGCATGTTTTATTTAACTTCTTTTGGAATGAAGCACTGCAACACCCGCTGACTGCAATGATAGAGCTTGGAATAGCCAGGACAATTTTTAATCTAACTCCGACTGGATTCGTCTGAAAGAAGAAAGTCATATACACCTAGGATGACTTGAGGGTGAGTAATTTATGGGCTAATTTTCATTTTTGGATGAGTATAATAATAATAAATGTAGGGTTAAAAGATTTAGGATTTAAAAAGAAACATTAAGACGCAACATGAAGAAATATTTACAATTCTGCACTATTTCTATGTTACTAATAAAACAAACTACAATATAAGCATTTTTCTTAAATGGACTCAATGCTAAAAATCAAGTAATTCTGATATCAGATAACTGAACATACTTTTCCTCAATGATCGTCTGGCCATTGCTCTTGATCTCCTCAACAATAATCTTCTCTTCTTCTGGAAGCAGGACCTGGGGGATGCACTCCTTACGAACAGCTGTGCAAACAAAATCAAATCTTCTAATGAAATCACACTGTTAAACTGTAAAAATACATTTCTGTTATTAAAAATTCAGTAGCTTAGTTATACAGTACATATGACAGGCAGGTCTACCTGTGGTGGATTGGTGGAGACTGGCTCCGGTGCAGTAGGCCTCAATCACTTTGAGTATCTGTGCATCCTCCTCCAGAGCTGCTGTGCCTGCATGTGACAGAAATAAAATTTTCACAGTGACGATCCATCAGTTTATTATGTATCTGTATTTCTTTTTGATTGTACGTTAA